TCATTATCAAAAACAGGACTGTAAACAATTTTATTAATACCTAGTTGATAACAAGTTTCTATATTTAGAGCTTATTTACAATATAATCCCACGTGCCGGTTATCCTATACTTCATATCCAGACGATGACTGTGTCGTTATTTGTAAACAAAATGGCGGACGTGCTCGCAGTACTGTAGGCATTTCTCGACCTGCATCAACTGCGCCATTATTGCTGACCGTGAATCATTTTTGTTTATCGATTTGCTACTTTGTTATATAACCTACATAGTTATGTAGTTATATGACGCGTATGACTCGTGCCAAGTAATAAACGCTGATGTATGAGATTTTCGGTCCGTTAAGAACGTAATATGCTATACTTCTAAGTTGTATTGCACGTAATAAATTTACAATAAATTCTGGCAACTAGCAAGTTACCTAATGAATAAACATTATGATAAATTGTATGAAAAAGAAGAAATATAACAACTCCATCTGATATATTGAAGTCGAATCACCGGTAATGTGTATCGATAAATCGGTTACATCATTCTTGGCTGGCACTTCTTATTTCATTTAACAATATGTTTTTGAAGATCTATCTTCGAAGTAAAGCGTAGGTAAATTAATAATGAATTATTTTTACTTTCAATTAAATAATAATCTAGCGCATTTTAAATTACTAGGTTACTTAGTAGAAACAATTCTGTATCTTTTAAGTAACATTCTTATAAAAAATACAGCCATAAACTGTTGCAACGCATTATCTTGTGTCACTAATGACGCGTTAGTTGAATGGTTAGTTACCAACATAACAATACAACAGACGATAAAGAGAAGACAGGATAAGTAATTTTCCATGTAACCACAGCGAGGCGTCGCGTCTGCGCCGAATAGACTAAAGTATATAGACATGCTTCTTATTGCTGTTTGTTCACATTATTCACTCTACAAGATCGTAACGCAAACTGCAGCTGGACAAAACAGTACAATCAATTCTTTTTAAAGCTTACGGTCGCGAACATTCTGATTGTTTGATAGACGTTTTTTATTAAAACGTCGTTTCGTACGGTAGACTGGAAGTCTCATCAAAATCCCATCAAAACTATAAAAAGGAGCATGTGTTTGCGCGGTTCGAAGACATTCTCTCGTTTATATTGAACTCTACTTTGTGTATATTGTTATTGCCGCAACAAATACTTATCCTAGATACTTTCAGTTATTATGTTATTTATAAAATCTATTTTCTTAATAATGTAGTATAGGAATAGAGTTACCTGGTTTGACGTCAAAGAGTTAAGGTACTAGATTTGAAATATTTATTCTAACCAAACATTTTTTATATGGAAGTCAATATAAATGATACGAAATTCTTCATTTCTGGGGACTACGTTCTTATAATTTTTACTCAAATAATTGAGTAATAATTGAGAAAGGTAAACGAAGAGAAAGATAAACCTTTAAATTTAGTAAGCCTTTTAATTTAACAATATAACGCTTAGTTATTTATATGACGCCAATTTGAATAAAATTTTTATAAGACAATGTGAAGTATGAAGTGTGAACATCGTATAGCGCGCGGAATGTTCGAGACGTGACGTTAATTCACGCGACAAAATATCTTGTCTACGGAATAACGAATTTTTGCTACGAGTTCTCACCTTCCCCTACACATAGCCAACGTTTTCTCAAGTATTTCGGCATCAAGTTATTCTCAAGCATATGTGTACCATTCGAGCTCAAATTCCCAACAGTTTTACGCAGCTATCTTTGATATATTCCTTCTCGGGAATATTAATAAATTGTCCGCTTCATAAATTCCCTGAACCCGGTCCGCTGTAACGACATTTACAAAGTTGCGATAGTAATAAATGCTCGAGATTTACATAAACCGCTGGATCCTTTGACAGTTCGAATACTGATGAGACTCAGACGAGTTACGGCGAGAGTAATGCTTGCTGCGATATAAATCCATAATTTTCTTTGCAAACTCGGAATCAATATCGCCAAGATAAAATTTAATATCTCAAATTAATTTAGAGACGAGTCGAATTTTATTTCAGAATTTATACAAACGTTCGAATTCAAGCGACGAATATAATTATATTAAAGTGGAAAGCATTTGTTGATACAAAGAGAGTATTAACGTAAAGCTCTCAGACAATGGCAAACACGAGGCGGAACGTAACGCCGACGTCACGATAAATGTATCGAGCGCCGCAAACACCATTCGCTCCCAGACTTATTGTTTCAGATGCCATCGCTGAAAAATTGCTATTCGTGCTGCGTCGACGCTTGTCATTCTCCAACAAAACACACAGAGTGTTACCCTTGAAGGCTTTTCGACGAAAACTTTCAATCGAAAAATAGCCTTATAGCTATTTACAAGTCAGCATTAAATTTTCAATAACATATTTAACCAACTTAGGATCAGTCGTATTGGATATGTCGCTGCGGCTAATTGGATTTGCGGCCAGGCTTCTCGTTTTTAACCCGGCTTCCCGACTGCCTCCCTCTCCCAGCTTTTCGCGTATTTAATTTTTATTTGAACTAGTCGCTCGCCGCCACGAGTGCGGACGACGGCGAAATATAATAGGAAAAGTTTCATTTGCCTAATTAAAAATAAGCCGCCCTCGGGAACGATACGGATTTATTATCATTATTCAACCTTCGGTCCCGCGACGTTTTATATTAAAAGCTCGTTCGTAAACATTATACTCGGCGGACAAATGCAAAGAACAATGGAAAGCGACCGTTGACAATGTAACGCGAATAGCTTACCGTCGTTCGTTGAGGGAAAACAAAATGTAAAGACCTCTGCCGTGCGACGAGTAAGAAACTCGATCGTGGATTTTAATTATGAGAAATACAATCGCACTAGCATCAGACGCGGAGACAAAGAGGAGGACAATCGCTAGCGTGTTGCACATTTCCATGTCCGTATGCGGCAAAAGCGCACCGGTTTTAGGGAGGCACCCTCGCCGTCTCTTCAATTATAGCGTCACCTTCAATTCGAAAAGTTTTAATGTGTATACATTCGTTTTGCGGCACGTCGAGTACAAACGAGGTTTGAAGCGTACTTCACTCCTCTCCTCCACCGAAACGAGCTCTACGCGCTTTTGTTATTTGAACAGTGAAACAAACGAACAGACGTACGAATGATACACGCTTCGGGATTCTCGTGGCGATGAATTGACTTTTAATTTGTTTCCGGACTTAATTAAACTTTATAGATTTAAGCAAATCATCTTCTGAAGCGTTGTATTATTCTCAGATAAGGGGATATTTCGAAGTTTACAGAGTGCCAAGTTTACCAGCACTATGTAAATTCGGTCTACGTAATTAGAGGAAGGCATGATCGTCTAACCCGATCAAATAGCCTCGTAACTGGCCGCAGACTAGACTGCGTCGTTTTCTATTCCATTTGTGCAACTGTGTCCACGAAAGCTGCGTATCTACTAGTACTACTAGGTACAACATATACTTTGAATGTGGCAAGAAAGTTTTTATGTACCATTTTATAGCGGCGGTCAGTCGGATACAACCGTAAAAGGCAAAGATTGACAAGCAACGCGTGATCGAATTGTGTAAATATATAGTGCGCTTTGAGATCACATCAATCGTAGAGTACCTACGATAGTGAATTGTGCAAGTCGGCACCGTGCCGCCGCGTCGCCGGGTTCGTTGGCCGCGATCTCCGACCTTACTAAACTTTCGCGAGCGCGACGCTTAACAATTTAATTGTCGCCCATTAGACCTAAGGCGCAAAACCCCAGCATACTACTAATGATGTTAGTTCGTATTTCAGTATATTAAATAGTGAACTACGAAATGCGCGTGTCGTGTCGGGATGCGAGCGCTGCTGTTTAACGTTATCAATCATAAAGCATCCGCGGCGATAGCGGCCGCTCGTCGGAATAAATCAATCAAATGTCTCTGCCAGACGGTTCTCGCGGCCAGTTATTTATCATCTTCGAATTGACGGCCGACATGCAATGATCGCAATTTGCAAATGAAGGCAATCGCGTACCAAGAGGAATCATCATTTCTAAGGCACATAAACTAAACGCTCTTAACTGAAATAGACGAGTTGGGAAGCAGATATCGCAGCGCTGTGCCGGATGGTCGCCCCCGCCCGCTCGTCTCTTGGCAAACTGCACCGAGCCGTGCTGCAAATCATACTGAGTTTGTTTGCGCGGGTCGACGCTCTCGCCGGCAACGTTTTATGTGTTCCTGGTGTCACGACGTCATTCTAATAATAGAATAATAGGAATGCTAGTATCGAACGCGCCGGTATGAGCGAGTCGTCGGCCGCTGTATGTGCGTTACGCATGCGATGCGTAAACCACATGCATAATTCGCACATCATATGTTTGACGTGTGATGTAATGTACAAACGTAAACGAGGGTGATGTCGAAGCGAAACTGTCGATACAATGCATAGATTGGATTCGGGTCGAAGGTTCGCCAAGTACTTTAGCAGTCGGTAATATGTTTAATTAAGCCGGCGCTGCGAGGACGTTGTTAAACTTTCATTATTATTCGCATTCGCAAATCGCTCGTACGTGAACGAATAGCGTTCACGATCGATCTCGGCGGCGCTCGCGCGAGCCTTTTGTTTGACTTCGACTCCGAATTCAGCGTAATTGCCTTTCAGCCTTTCATTATTCAACTTTATGCAGACGTTTACTTGCGTTATTATGAAGGGAGAGCCGGTGCGGTGAGTGTCGTGGGTGTATGCATTAATCGCAATATGTAAATGTGGGGATATGAAATATTGAAATTACAAGCTTGCCTTTACAGCGAAGCGCTTGTATAGAGCGCGGGTTCGACCCCAAACGCGTTCTGTTTTCCCTTGCGCTCGAAAGTCGTGATTTCTAGACCGTTTATTTATGTGATATATAAGATATCCGCTAACGAGACTTAATAAATGACTGTATATAAAATAACTCTATCTCTAGCAACCTAGCATAGCTGCGCTTTAAATGCTTATCCAATGAACACGATGTATTGTTATAGATCGAGGACGAAGGCAACCACGGCAACGATGACACGCGTCTGTTCATCCTGTCGACGCTGGCGGGGCAGCACAGGCCGCGCGTCTCGTGCGCGCTCTGCAAGGACACTCTGGATGTCTTCGACCGCTACCCGCTCGTTGACGGAACCTTCTTTCTAAGTCCACGACAACATACCAGTAGCGCCGTTGAGGTATGCTCCTCTAACGTTTGTATGATCTGCAGTAAAAACTTGAGAAGATTTCGACATTCAAAATTTAAAAATACTAAACCCTAAACAAAGTTTCTAGTCATATTCACAAAAGTGAAAAATCAAATCAATTGGTTAATAAGAATAACTTCAGACCATTCCGAGCTCAGCGCTACGAGTTGAAAACTTTGATAAAGTAGACAAGTTAATTTAATTACGTGTTATATAGTGTTGTTTGGGAACAGCAATAAAACGTATCTCGTTTTAATTCCTCCCTTTTAAATTGCTACAAAGTTACCCCTCGTAAACTTAAATAAGATCCCGCTAAGTTTATTTAAGTCCATAGTAACATGGCGGCTCATGAGACGGGTACTTCTCGACTTGCGCTGTTTATTCAGTGAATTAGGAGATTGAATCTGTGAGCTTACGGATATTTGTTTGATGTTAGAGTTAGCAGACCCTGGTGGACTTTAGGCTTCACCGGATGTATCTTTTTAGACCTGTTAATTTTTTACAAGTTGTATTTGATTTGATGAGGGACAACGTTAGGTCTGTCTGAGAAGTAGACCTTGGTATTATACTTGTTTTAAAATGAAACTCCGTAATTGTATTAAGTACTATTTTTGGTGCTTAGGTGAAAGTGGAGGGGCGGACGCAGTACCTGACGTGCGTTTGCATGGGCTGCCTGGAGCGCTGCGAGCCCGAACGCACCATCCGCTGCCGCTTCTGCGGACAGAAGTGGGACGGTTCGTCACTCGTGCTCGGCACCATGTACTCCTATGACATTTTCATGGCGACCCCTTGTTGCGCTGAGCGATTGAAGGTGGGTAAATTATACAGTTCACAAAGAAAAGAAACTGATCGCCAATCTTTAATACTTTGACATATAAACTGTAACATCTTAATTATTTTTATTTGAATTGTCATACGTAAATGTATTTATCTAATGTGAATTATGTTGTCCTCAGTGCAACACGTGCTACAAGCCTCTGCTGCACCCGCACCAGCGCCTCAACTACTCCGACTACTCGCACCCAGTGACATGCCCGCACTGCCGCGTGCTCGACGCGCACTTCGTCAAGCCGCTCGGCTATTGTTTCACGAAACGGGCCTTCCCGCTCTTCCAGCAGTGGCCATAACAGACGGCGGTGCCGGGGACCTCCCCCGGCACCTCCCCTGAAACCTGGCTCGCGCCCTCGCCGCCGCGTCGTGCATCGCCGCCCGCGCTGCGCCCCGTCGTTAACACAAGCATGGCCTCACGCCCCGAGTCCGATGAGTCGAAGTACCTCGCGCCCGCGCTGGCAAGCATTACGGAGTCGCTGTCGCTGCTCGGCCTGAGCCCGGAGACGCTCGCTATCAGCGTTGGAGAGTCGCTGGCGGAGCGTTACCTGGCCACGATCCGCGCTAAGCCGCCGGCTGCGCCCGCCCCGGTAGTCCCGCTGGCCCCGCTGGTGCCCGCTACGTGCGCGCCCCCGCGCCGCGGCGTGCCCGACCCCGCGCACCTGCAGCTCTTCTCCAACGACTTTATGGAATACCTGAACCAGATCGCGTAGGCGAGCGGCGAGTGATGTGTTAATGGACTACTTTCTAGTGATAATTTTTTGTTAAATTAAGTTGGTCTTATTGAAATAATTTTATGCATCGGTTTAGAGAGTACTATTGATTTTATTATAATTTTATTATTGCACTTTGTTGATTAAATAAGGTAGATGTTGATTTTTATCTGAAATTAGCGGTTAGTGGCGCCAGAAATTGCATTTTTGTGTCATTCATTTCGATTGAACCATATCGGGAGTTTTCCTTTTGAAGGAGATAAAGGGGAGTTTTTTTTTTATAAATTATTGATTACCTTCGTTTTCAGTGATATCGATCGCCCTATCTGATAGGGAATTTGAGTGGTGTGTTGTTTAGTTCAATTTAGTTTATTAGTTATGTTTTATTTTAGCAAAATTTTTAACTTTTTAACTTAAGTGTTACAATATTTTCGTAGGTTTCGTACGATCCTTTATTTCCTCCCACCAAATGGCACTTCAACCAGGAGGCGACATCTACTTGTGTAAGATGCCATCTTAGGTTATATTCTTTAATCACTTTTTCGTTTATGTAATATTGTAATTTGTCACTTAATTACGGTAAAGGTTTATAATTGTAAGCGATTGCTGTGTCACCAATAATATGATTAGCTTGTCAATACATATTATTGTAAGTTGTATCCGAAGATAATTGATATTGTCAGATATTGTCAGACATTGTCATACTATCTGATACTGTTGTCTTTATTTTGCATTTTCCTTTCAAATATGTTCTTCAATGGTTAACGGAAATCTAGAAAAAATGCAAGTTTTGGAATTGTGCCATATCAATTAAAATTTACCCGGGTAGACGATTTTCCTTTAACCATTGAAGCTGTGTTTAATGTAACTTTACCAATAGAATTTATAATTTTGTTACATATGACTGGCCTCGGCTATTTTTAAGGTAAGATATTCTTACATTGAATATGTATTTATTTTTAAACGCTTTACCATAAAACTGATATAGTTAAGCGTGCACTTCTCTTATATTTAAAGAATGAATTAGATAAGTTTTTTGATACAATTTGATACTTATTACTTACTCGCAACGTGATTACAAGTGATAAAATTCTAGTTTAGAGCGTGTTTAGGGATAAGCGATCAAAGTGGTGCGGATAGGTAGGCGTTGGAACATGTTCGCGAACGTGTTCGGGTGACAGGAGTCGGAGTTAGGCAATAATTCTCTCAAGACTTAACACTTTTTAGATGAAATTTTTTGCATTGGTCCTAAAGAAAAAAGAATTAAAACTGCCATTTACCATTTTTTTTACTTAATTAATTTTTCATAAAACTTATTCTACGGATTTTAATGCGCACAATTTGAACAAATTTAAATGTACATATTTTTATATGCTAAAAAAAAAGGGCGAAGACCAGTGATTACTTTTTACGTTTGTATACTTAAATTTGTTTAAATCAATCGTCATTTAAATCAGTAAAATCAGTTTTATTCGAATTGTTTGCGTAAATATAGGAAATCATTAACGTAAATGTCTAAGATCGGTCTAACATACTAAGACCTCTTGACTCTTGACTGAATCATAAATTGCATAGATCTAACTCGACTGGTTAAGGTTAGGAGTTAGGGATACAGGGCATGCATACCTCCTTTGTCACATGCTCCATTTCCCCCTCCTCTCATGTCAGTCGCAGTTAACCATCGACATGTCATTCGTCATTACGCTATCATCCGCATCACAGCACCTCATTCACCATCTTTGTCATTTGGCACTGTTTGAGTGGGAGTCGAACTGGCTAACAATGGTTTAAATTAAAAAGAAAATATAACTATACTAATCATGATCGAATTTCAAAGGTTTAATAAATTATAAGAGAAATAAAACAAAATTAATCTACAAAAAAGTATATCCAAACATTTACAAAGAGAGTTGTAAATTATATTATGTAAATAAAAGATTATGGTGTACCATTTACAATAAAACCATGATAGCCAGTTCGTCAAGTATGGTTGTAGTAACCCTTATAAATATTTTTATTAATATCCTTTGCTTAAAAATAACTTTAAGAATGATACAATTATATAGAAATCTAGCTATATCATAGCACGGCATACCCCTATTGTAAATACGCAGTTAACAAACAGACGCTTACCTAAAAGTTGAAAATTAACGAAGATATATTATTGCATATTTCTAGATTAGCCGTAAATCGATAGTACATAATTTCAACAATATCAAAGATTACCCTAATTATTTTAAAAAAAGAAATCCCGCCAAATTGTAATGACGTTTCATATGTTAATCAATTTTAATTTTATCGGAGTTTGCTCGTTCGTAAATAGAATTATATTTAAAAAAAAGTTTAATGTATATATGTGCATTTAATTAAATGTATGTAAACAAAGTATTTGAGAAAATTAAACGAGCTGTTGTTGGTATATTTAGGAAAATATTAAAAAAAAAGAACCAGATCATCTGATGGTGGCCATGTACAAATGTGTAAGTGAAACGACATTACAATTCGGCAATTTAGACAAAACACATATTATAGAGACATAATTGTTTAATAGTCAAATACAGAGTGAAATATGTAGACATAAGGCGTTTACATTAGCCCTTGTAAAATATCAGGTCGATGACCTTCCCCCTCCGGTACAAATTCGAGTATATTCGGTAACCTTTAAAAATTATATATCGATCCTCTAAAGTGGTTACATTTGATTACATGAAATCAATACCTCTTTAGATACTAAAAATAGATATACTGGCACAAGATTGCTATAGTATTCTTTAAGTCCTTGTCTTAAATTTTATCGTATATTTGTAAGTTTACATTCATGGATTCAAAACTATTGTTTGTATTCGCCTATTCAGCGAGTAACTTGACAAACCAGTGTTGATACAATTTTCAGTCTGCTTAGACAAGGAAATCTCCGGTAATACACATAGGTTAAAATCCCATTTGACAGAAACAGTAGTTCTACAAACTATAGGACTCAAAGGTTGTAAAAATTCGACAATTTTTTCGTCGTTCATAAAACAATAGATATGTCCTCTGAACTCAGGCACTATCGTTGTTAAGGGTGAAGCGAAATTATTAACTCGTCAAGAGAATTGCGCCATGGGAAAGATTGAAAAACACTGGCCTAAATAGAGGCTAACAGATATCACGCTTCAAACGGTTTGTCAAGGTACATTTCTTCCAGTTTCGTTACCTAATTTTCTAATTCAATAGTCTCCTATGCACAATGGGTTACGTAGATTCTAGACGGGATCTTATCCCACAACAGTTCTTATTTATTCCCCAAAGTCTACTATGCAATTATATACGAATGTGTTTGATTCTTCATATTTTAACCACTGAGTTGTTTGTTCAGTTTTAAATGTAATTACACGAACGTTGCCAACTTCTTAGTTTATTTGCACATAATTTGTTAAATTTTGTATTTAATAACAATTTATTTAGACGCCAACGTTCGAATTACGTGTTGAATTAATATGGTGTTATTTAGTGAATTGCTTAAAAGTACAAAGAAACAATTTGTTACTTTTGCAAATTTTATAATAAAAAAAAATAAATAAAACAATAAAATACATATAAAAAAGTAACACTGATCTAGGTAATCTTTACAAAATAGTCGCTGTAAATCCTAAACATAATCCTCGAACGTTTCTCCTAAACTAAGTTTTATTGCTTTTAAAATAAATTTTGTCTTTCGTTGATACATTTAGGAGCGAAAATTGTTAATTATTGTAAGAATAAACTATATCTCGTATTTAATTTTAATATATTTACTTTATATTGTATCTTTAATTACTATTAGTGTACTAGGATCGCAGATAACGTAGGATCATCAAGCATAATCGGTTTTTCTATCGCTAAGTGTAGGGACGACCTTTTTTCCACTACTTCCTCTATTAGAATTGTAGTGTTTTCTTTAATAATAATGTGTGAATGGGATGTGTGAGTGTTGTCTCAACTTCGATCATCGTGCATACTTTTCATGTATTACTTATTGCTCGTACTCGTTTAAGCGAGATATTTTTATATAATATCGTGTATGTTCTGGTCATAGGCGCGAAGCGACGCGACGCGTATAGTTACGTCAAAATATGTTCTTCCTTTTACATCGTGAAGTATGAATAATTTGACCTTAACGCTCTAAACTTCGTACATTACCAGGAGCAGTGGATTTTCTTTTTAATTCACAGATTAAAACGACGACAATTTATGGTGAACTTATATTAACATTTGCAATTGAATTATCTATTGCATAAAGTAATGCAGTACAGATTACAAAAAAACCTGGCGTACGATTAGAACGTCAAAGTGACATTATTCGTATGGATCAAATTCCTTCTACTTTTTTCGACATTAAATGTAATGATAGGGTTCGCAGCTTAACGTTATGTTGATCATCAGATCACTACATAAATCGTACCATAATTATTAGCGTTATTGTAATGTGGCGTTGGGAATCTCTGGCGCGTTAATATCGATGTGATAGAAACCGGTGAAGGCTGCATTCGGAACAGAATAAGGTAGGATCGTTAAAACTAGAAGGATACGACGCTGTTTGCTGACGTTGGCGAAGCCCGCGCAATTATTGTCAATGTGACATTCAGCATCCCAAATGATACCCGGCGTAATTCGAAGCTCAAAATTTTCAAAAATATAAACGCATTGGCTGATTATAGTATACGGCTGTTGTTGGTTAGTGAAAGATGCAAATTGAAATCGTGTTAATTATATTTTGATACTCGATGTTTTCTACACTTATTGTAGTACGTAATAATTAACCTTTTGTAATAAAACACGTGTAGTTTGTAGGCTTAATGTAGCGCTCGATCGATGTAGTACCGAACGGATCGAATTTGATGCCGACGCTTTCAGATTTCGGTTTTACATTGCCAGCTTAAAACGTACTTACAGATTGAAACAGTAACAAAATGCGCAGTAAGCGTTCGATGTAATTACAGAATTCGAAATGTTATCGTGAATTTAACATCGGAAACCGTCGAAAAGCGATTAAAGCAATTACATTGGAAAGAACAAAGCTTCGTTATGTCTCAAATGGAAATGGCACGAAGAGTTTTGTAAGGCACGGTTTATGTCGGTGATAAACTAACGAATTGGTTATTGATAATAATTAAGTTATTGCGTGGCAATTAGTGTAACGTTTTCTACGTAAAGCGCGGGGTGCATCAGGGTATGAGTGTCATAATTTGTAATAACGATGGAGAAGGGAAAAAAACTTTTGTACTTTCGTAAACATAACAAGTAATTTAGTAATAACTTTTTCTATTGATATTATATTTGTAATTCGTAATCGTAAACATCAAGTAATATACGTTTTTTTACTGAAATCGTAGTTGTAGTATTTTTATAAGAAACAATCGAGACTCGATCTCGCGCGTGTATCACAGCGATAATAGATTGTATGTTACCGTCTCTGCGTTGAACATTAAGATTTCTCGATCAGCCAACTCCAGTTAGTGAGTCCTGTGTGAAATTGATTTCACCGAGAATCTTTTTAAATTAAACGCAGAAGACGTGATCTTTGTATAACTAGATTTAGGAACTTATTGCCTATCGTGAGTGATAATGCTTTGTAAAACTTACTTTAATCTTCATATAATATCTCTAAATAATCACATTTTCTATTCGATCTCGGTAATAACATTGAATTAAAAAGGTTTCCTGAATTTTAATTTGGATAATACGGAATTGTTTAAACGATATTAATTGCTTAAAATTGATTAACTTATACCAAAATCCTTTAGCCAACATAAATTCATTTCTTAACTTTTTTCTTAATAGCGAAGTATGTTTGAATGGATGAAAACTTTTTAGCGTTACTGAATTTCCCTTTTTTCTTACGTAGGATATATTTAATTATATACAGACTTTAATATTAATGTGAGTGTGGTTTAATATAAGTTATTTACTACAATGATCTCTTCTTGTTTACTTACAATTTTTCTGAAATATGGTTCGAATAGGGAGGAGTCGATGCGGGGAAATGCTCAGTAAGGAAACGCCAATTGGATATTTAAGTAAGGATTAAGTGCTTGAATTAATTGTAAGGAACGTTTTAAAGTATTCATTATGTATGTTAAAAGTAAACCATTGAAAAAAATATTATTTTTAAAATCTTTGATACGTTTCAACGTATATTTTTGTACAATTACTGTCGATGCAAAAGGAATTGGCACAAATAGATTGTAGTGTTTAAGATTGAGTATGATATACTGGTATATAAGAAAGTATTAATGGAAACATGTTCCATTTCGCAAAGATATTGATATTGGAAGGAATAAGGATAACGAGCGTTGTATTGTCTATTGTAATGTTGGAAAAGCGTGACTAAATATAAAGTTGTTTCGGAAAATTGTAATAAAACTAAGGAGGTAAAAAAAAAACATGTTATATTTTATACGGATCCTGATATTGCGCCCTCGGGCTGCGTGTTACTTTACGAATGTAGTTTGTAAGTTCGCTCTGAAAGAGTTTTCGCAGGTAGTAGTTATATTAGGCTTAGTGTTTTTTATACCGGCTTGATGTTGTGACATTTATAATTAATGTATAACGGATAAAGGCAGAATACCGAACAAGCGGCCAACACTGATCAATAGCAGAATGTGTAGTGGGTACGCGAACGGGACGGAGGAACATTTCGTTGTTTTTGTTTAGGGTCGGGAGCGGGCGGCGTTTCTGCATTTGTGATCTTTACCAAAGTGTTGCTGTTCGCAGGCATATCATTTTGATAACTAACGCTAGATACGTTTTTTCGGTACAAAATTTAGCCAAGTTTTTTAATTCTATTCGATTAATGATATATTGTTAGACAATTCTGTATCGCCAGTGTTGTAGTGGAGGTCGCGCTGTGCGGTCGTGCGGCTCGAGACGGCGGCTCCGCCATCACAACACTGGCGATGGACCTGAATTATTCAGTTATTTAGCAGAATTATATTATCGTCTAGTATTTCCGATTATGTTATGTTTTATATTGCTTATATTATATATTATGAATACAATGTTTATTAAGTATTTTAATATTCATTTGATGAGGACCTAGTCGATTCTCTATTATATCACATCTCCCAAAGTACAAATTCCTTGTTGTTTAGTCCAATTTTGTTTTGAATGTTATCGACTGGAAATTATTTTAAAGATCAGTCGCCTCGTCGATTGTGGCGCCTCGCCGCCGGCGTTGTGCAAATTGTCGACATCCTATTATTAAATCTTTTGTCATTCTAATTTGCTCCAAAAACCAATTATGTGACATAACACTTTTGGAACAAATAAGAACTTGTAATTTTACGATTTATCTATATGGTAAATAGATTAAATGTATAAAACCCAACCTTTATCCCCTTGTCGGCCAGATTGTGGCTCTAAAGGCTTACAAGACAAGATGGTAATCATTGTAGTCAACCAATATAGCAGTTTCGCCTGAAATCGCAACCGCACGCCGCGTAGGGCCGATGTTGGTGCGTCACATTTTAAGTTTAGCAGCTTTTAACTTAAGTTTGAGTTAAGAATATTTCTGTATTAATTTACCTTTTAGTTTATGCACAATTAATAACCACAATACTTAGTTATGTTTAATTTTTTCACTAATTCTTTACCGCATTGAACTTACTTGTTTATTTTTAAGGATTTTGTTTGATTTTTGTAGACTTGCGCATGCGCAGCGATAAATAATTATACTTTGTTTTACTTACCGTTTTAGTTATGTACGTTTACGCCTACTACACATTATCTAATTGGAAAGCTAATAAGCGTTCAAATATATTACAAATGACACTATACCTACGATAAATACAATGAAACATTTATAAAAATAAAGAATTAAAAAAATTACAACGGTTTTTCATTTCCTAGATTTAGTAACCCTTATCATTTTAAAATTTAAGATGAATATTAGTTTTAAAATAAATACTGACTGAGATGACGTATGATAGAGATATTTGGAGGACAAAACCTGTTGTGCTGACCCTACGGAAGTAGGGTAAGGAGGATGATGATGATTAGTTTAAAAAAAAATCTTAAATTTGATAGATTACATAACTTACAAAACAGAGAACGATATAATTTATATCAGATTATGATGTTAGAATATAGGCCGGAACAAGATCTATATTGAAACGGAGTGGTCAATAAGTACCAGTTGCAGTTTGGACTCATTTACGTACTATAAAAAATTATGAGTAGAAGCAATTTTCATATTTATCCCGCGCAACTCCGACCGCGTGGAATTAAAAACAAAATTAAGTAGCCCAAGTGTTCTTCCAGACACCTCTACATCTGTAACAAATTTCATCTAGATCCGTTCAGTAATTTAGGCTACAAACTCTAACAAATATCCATCCTTAAACTTTTGCATTTATAACATTACTGGCTTTCGCCCGCGACTCTGACTGCGCGGAATTTAAAAAAAAACAACAGTGAGTAGCCTATCTGTTCCCACAGACTATCCTCTACATCTATGCCAAATTTCATCGAGATCCCTTCAGCTGTTTGGGCTACAAACTTTAACAAACATCCATCCATCCATCTAAACTTTCATATCAATAATATTAGTGAGATAAAAGCATACTTACCAAGAACCTATCTTTATTTCTAAACAAAACAAAGTTAACACGTTTCATGCCACGATTTTTAGATAGAAGTGAATTCGCAAAGCAATCGGCAGTGAACGTGTTAATTGCTCACACAGTGTAATATAATGTGGGAGTGTCTTAGGACACGTCTAACGAGGCAGAGCAAATATCGCGATGACGTGTACTCCAGAACTAGTGTTAGCTGTTACACAAAGCGAACATTAATCACGTTCGACCGACAGCTCGATATTATTTGAAATTGCACTCGCGTTAATGACGCGATTACCAACGTGTCGGCAAACCTTCCAGCGATACATTTGATTGATAAATTGTAATTTGACCAGGTGATAGCTTATTCGATATTTCAAAAATGTAACACAGTAAACACAGTAACCATAAATATCGGTTTATATTCTATTTAAGTAACAAGTCTAATCAATACCATTTAACTATGAAACTGACATCTTAGTCAAAGGTTCTAAGGAAACAAAAACGCTGTAAAAAATAAAGTTTAGTCCAATCTCTCCAATCGTATACCTTTTGACCTCTTCAATAACTATTTAACTTTCAGATAAAATTATATTCCAAGTTTTACATTGCCAAAAACATTAAGGCCTGTCCCACCAAATTGTAAATTGTTTGTTAACAATCCAACGTGTAAAATA